ACGTCGACTCTGCTCACTATCTTGAGGGATGGCAGATTAGGAAACTCAGATCCTGCAAGCTTGGATGTGCGGGCGGTGTAATGGATAATGGTTCTGAATTGTCAACCGGAGAGCCGAGTTCCAGTTCCAGTTCCCGTTAGGTTAGTTATATTCATTTATATGCAAATACTATTGTAAAAGGTATGAATCACATCTTTTCCCCAACTATGGGTTAATTAGTCAGACTTTTATCACCAAAACCCTTAATATCTACCAAAATATTCATACAATTTTAAAATATTTTCTACCTTTACATAAACTGCAAAGAGTTGATAAGCCGTAGAAAACGTACCAGTTAATCAATCCTGAGTCGTGCTGAAGACTTCTGATTTAAAGCCAAACTCTTATAGGACCCCGTACTCGATTCCAAAGATAAGAGTAGATTGAACCCTCAGGCTTAATGAAAGTAGCCAGTATGAGATATGGAAACTAATAAATCCTGCGACTGAATATATCACCAGGCATCTTAAGCAGTCTTGTCGTTGGATTATGCTATTTCATGCTCAGATAGTGATATACATGTTGTACAAGTATCTATCACTATAGTATCTCAGACTTACAGGTGCAGTGTAACCCGGATATAAGAGAGTTGTCGGGACCGGAGAAGAAGTCTCTTATATCCGGGTTTCTTTTATATCCGGGTTTGGTCTATTTTATATACATTAACACAGGCTCTAATTTGGGACCAGAGAAAATCTCTCTTATATCCGGGTTTCTCTTATATCCGGGTCTCTTATATCCGGGTTACACTGTACTTCCTTACAACAATAGCCACTATCTATGAGTAGATATTCAGAATTCAACTTAGAAAAAGAGAAAAGGGTGAGAAAATAACTGTTCTTAAGTCTTCATAATGGCGCCAATGCAACTTGTTTATTTTTGACAACCAGGTACATGATGATGCCTTTTAGCGATTCCTACTTATTGAAGGGTTGATTCGTTTCATTATGATAACGTTAGTAGTCAAGAGAATCCAAATTAAGAAAGTATGAGGGCACATGTTGCGGGTGATATGACCAAAATAATTCTTATGTAGGTTCTATAGGAGGAAACAAAGGCTTGATGGAACACATACCGTCTCGATCCTTAAGCACACACACACACACACACACACACACACATATATATATATATATATATATATATATAATTGCTAAACTTAACAAAAGTAAGTTCGTGGCTATAAAGCGAATTTATAGCCTTCTTTTTATATGTTACATGTCCCTTCATGGATGATCATGGCCCTCTACAACATCCTGTATTTTCTAGCGTTGTGTAATATTTTATCTTTTGAGCATATTTCTTAGAACCTGTTCTGTTAATCATTTACACATTGTCATTATGTAAGTCATTCACTGTTTTTCTCTTGCTCTCAACATGTCATGTGGGGATTAAATTCTCCAAGTCCTAAATTCCTCATTATGTGTTCAAGAAATTTCAGCTGTCTCTTTCTGGTTCTCTCTATGTGTCATTTTCCTTAAAACTTTGTCGTTGCTCACATAGTCCATAGTATTCTCAGCATCCCTCTGTAGAACCAAATTACTGTTGCCTCAAGTTTCTTCTTCATCTGTGAGGAGGTATTACATAGCGGTTCGGCGCTCGTTTTTTTCTGAGGGATTTGTCCTTTTTTAATACTTTGCTTAGTATTTGGAAACCATATTTCGCTATACCAATGCTCCTTCGGATTTCGGAGGTATATTTTCTGTCCTCTGTTTAAAATTGTTGCCCTTGCTTGATTTTGGTGTGTCCAATTTGTAGTATGAATCTTGAGTTGTTCTTTTTGCTGACAGCCATGTCCTCTTACAATTGATGCTTAGTCCTTTCTTCTAGCTTTCCTTTACTACCTTCTATAGGATTTCCTGTAGATTTCCTTTCTGTGTCTGTATCAACACAGTATCACCTGCATATCTTAGATAGTTAAGATTGTGACCGCCCATAATGAATACTGGTAGGACCTGTAGTTATTTCAGGATCCCCTCGATCTAAAGGTCCGGTGAGAATATATATACTTGTCCCCTTGAAAGTGTCCAGTTGAACAAGAGAAACGCCTGTTGGTTTTGCGCGGACTCCACGGAGGTATACACGGTGATGCACAGCACGTATTTCAGGTCTTCTGTAATGATCTTGGGTGTGGTCAGTAACAAAATCCATCTCATGCCCCCCACTTCTTCCCGTACGGTATCAGAATCAGACTCACTGTCGGCATCGAGGTGCAGGACACGGTGAGTCGAGTGAGTTGCCGTACGTGTCCAGTAGAAGTCTGCCCCGCAACCATAACAACCATGGGACCCAGAAGTAGCTTGCCGAGAATTTTCTCGATTTATATGACTCCCAATGCGCGGTCTTTTAGGTCAAGTTATTTCAATTCCATGAACTATTACTACTTTGGTGTCGTCGAGAGGGACAAGAAACAACGGATCCACATGTTCTTTTGGACACCATTGTAGCATCTAGTTTACACATCTCCATTGGAATAATCCATTTAGCTATATATATATATATATATATATATATATATATATATATATAGAGAGAGAGAGAGAGAGAGAGAGAGAGAGACTCATAAGGTGTACTGCTCACGGATATTAGCGGCCTCAAATCTTGAAGGAAGGTAGATTATTGACTAACTTTCTCTATTCTGTTTAATATTTTGTGGAGTATTCGCATATATATATATATATATATATATATATATATATATATATATTATATTAACTTTTTCTATTTTAAGAATTTAGAGAGGCTGAAAAGTCCATGTCTTGAAAAAGTAAACTTTCATAAATAATATGAATTTGGTCAGGAATTAATCGATTTTGTTTATAATCCGACATTATTTCTTTTTCTAAGCTTTATATCTATACGTGGATGCACGTGTCTGATTAGGCATCTCCTTAGTCGATAATTATGTTGATTAAATGAAAAAAAGATGTCTATTCAAACTCGTGTATCCTATAAATATAACAGTAATAGTACTAATTACTAGTGTGTGCGTATTTGTGTCAGTAAATATTTTTCAGAAAATTTAAAGGACGTGTTTGCACCGGATGTAGCAGAAATTTGGCCGCTACTATTTGTGAACAGTATATATATATATATATGATTTTAACATAAGACAACTTTTAGTACATAACACCAAATGTTTATATAGGACACAGTGCAAAGAAAAAAATCTCCAAATTTTGGAGGCTGGTGCAATAAAAGAGAAGCAGACAACATTAAATAGGGTATCTTTTTCCATAGGGGACCATATATTAAAGTGTATTAAAAACACACAAAGAAAAAAATTTCAGTTTGAGAGTTTCTATGACGTCACCAAGATTGACTTGAGATTGGTTCCATCAAATGTGAGAACACCGGAATTAAAAAAAAAAAAAGAACACTTGCGTAAATAGACACAGAACAATCCTTGAAAACGAATGTAGCAACATTCGATAGTACTCGGGAAGAAAATCATATTAAATATAGATATATAGATATATAGCGATAATACAAAACAGCTAAATCATAAATTTGAAAAACTTTTATAAACATTTGACAGACAAAACTTGTTCATATTATTTAATCAAACATGTTATATATATATATATATATATATATATATATATATATATATATATATATATATATTTATATATATATACATATATATATATATATATATATATATATATATATATACATGTGTGTGTGTGCGCGCGCGTACTTATGTGGTATCTCCGAAAAGAAGTAATCGACCAAAAAGTCTTTCTCGCCTACCAAAATAATAAAAAAAACACTTGTTTGGTCAGCTTTCGGGAAGTGGGACCGGCCAATAACCAGTTCGCTCTGGACGGTGCTGAAAAGTTCTCGACTCGACAGTCTGAACAAAATATCAGAATCATTTAAAAAAACGAATTTTTAGGTCGGATCGAAAATTTTTTGTGATTATCTTATACTCGTATTTACTAACATATATCAGACAACTTTAAAAATAAAATCAGATATATATATATGTATTGATATCAAATATATATTGATATATCTTTCCATGTGCTTAGACATTGAAAAAGTATGCGCATACTTATAAAATATATTGCCAGATACTTATATATATATATATGCTCCCATTCTTTCAGTATATGTTTATACCTATTTATTCTTATCGATCTTTGTACATTCCCCCTCTCACACGCACTAACCAGCTACACAAATGCGTTCTCATGCACTTATACACTCCTAACACACTAAAGCGCATTTCCCACCGCGTAAGTGTACTCTTTCGTTGTTGGAACGAATTGAAATGTGTACAGTTTTTCATCTGACATTCTTGACACATACACGCGTTTGAAGTAAATATTTAAACATACATAAGACGGACACTAAGAGAAACGTTCACACGCGTAAAAACACCAATGCACACGGACAGTTAAACCTGATGATACCAATACAATTTTTCGTGTTTTCTAGGAATGCATTACACACTGCAAACTAACACATTCCTGCATATTTAGAAACATTTACTCAAGCGTACACACAAGCACTGCTATACTCGCATATTAGTCGTTAATAGCACGTCTCTGGGTGCGTATACACATGGAAGCCATTCGTCATATGCATACACTCGCAGGCTGGTTAGCACATTGAAATTTTCAATAAATGTATATCGACATTTACATGCACGTATACACAGTGACTGCTAAACTTATATATAGTGATAGAAAACAAAATAAAAATTAGACACAAAGACAGTGAATACAGTGAAAGAAATATGTAATTTGCTGTTGATTTCGATCTTATAAAAATTTAAAATAAAAAGACATTTTCCCCCATGAATAGAAATTTCATTTGCTTTTTTTTTTAAAAAAATATTTTCGTTACTCTTTTTCTTTTTCGTTTTAAATTTCTTTTTTGGTTGCATTTTTGTTCTTTTTTTATTTTTTGTATATTTGTTTTATTTTGTTTTGTTTTCGATTTTGATTTACTCAAGGAAAAATGCTTCCTTGGATTCTGACTAGAAACAAAATGAAGAATAGTGTAAATTGAAGAGAATGAGAGAAAGTACTGATTTCATATGAAGAAATAAGCAGTGTTAAAGAAAGAAAGAAAGAAAGAAAGAAAGAAAGAAAGAAAGAAAGAAAGAAAGAAAGAAAGACAGAAAGAAAAAATGAAAAAGGAAAGATGACTTTGAGGAGCATTAACAGAATTATATAAGGAGAGAAAGCGACACTGAAAGAAGAAGAAGAAGAAGAAGAAGAAACGCAAGAAGAAATAAAATGAGAGGGAGATGATGTAAGAGAAATGCAATCGGTATGCAAGAAAGAAAAGGTAATAGAAGGTAAAAAAAAAACCCCAAAAAACCCCTCTAAAATAGAGGTAATTTCAGAGAGGAGAAAGAGAAGCAAAGAAGCGGCAACGAAATGCACATGTATCCTGAATTTCTTCGGAGATGGAAAGAAAGAAAGAAAGAAAGAAAGAAAGAAAGAAAGAAAGAAAGAAAGAAAGAAAGAAAGACTTACATAAAACAGAATGCATGTGTAAAATGATTTATAGAGAGACAGAAGCGATTAAAGAAATTGAATCAAAATGAAAGTGAAAGTGGAATTAGGATAGAAAGACGCGGTAAATGAGAGCAAGGATGAATACAAAAGGGTGGAGTTTTGAAGCGTTACATCAGGATAACTTATAAGATGTGATAATCAGAATATTTAATAGAATGGCGGAGGCGACTATTAGTGTCGGTTATTTTTATCTGAATAATAATAATAATAATAATAATAATAATAATAATAATAAGAAGAAGAAGAAGAAGAACAACAACAACAACAACAGCAAGAACATAAAGAAGAAACATTTATTAATTATTATTATTATTAATTATTATTATTATTATTATTATTATTATTATTATCGCATAATCAAATCATCATAGTCCAATTTCATATTACTGAACGTTTTATAGCAATTCAATTAACTGGAAAGCATTGAGATAAATGAAGATATTACATTCTGATAAAAGGAAAAATATCGTTATTTTTATGATATTACAGAGATCCAAAAAATGAGGGCGTTTAATATTGTGTATGCGCTGGAGAAGGATTATTTAATATTGAGAAAATGCGTTAAGATTGCCAAAACAAAAACAAAACAAAAAAACCCAACGAAGTTGGTATTTGACTGGGGAGGCCGAGTTAAAAAAAGAAAAAAAGAAGAGAAAGAAAGAAAAACAGCCAACTGTTCATCTGACAGTAGAAACATTGCCTTTGTGTGGAAGTTATATCGAAAGGGTTGTCTTTGAGGTTAGACTTGGATTATAGACTTTGGAAAATTAATGAGTAGACGTAAATACGGGAGGGAGAAAACGACCTTGTCTGTTATTCAAAATAAGAGAGTAATGCCTACCGAATGGTGTCATTACATACACTGGAAAGGGGATTTATATTAGATAAAAAAGAAGAATTAAGAAAATGTGGAAATGGTTGTGGAAAGCGAGAACGGGGGAAAAACAGGAGGAGGAGAGAAAAATGCAAGTGTTGAAGTAAAACACTGAGAGAGAGAGAGAGAGAGAGAGAGAGAGAGAGGGGGGGATAAAAGACGATCGAAGAGAATTAAAAAAAAGAGAAACAGATAAGAAAGCGAGAAGCAAAAAACAAAATGAAAATGAGAAACTGTAGATAAGAGGAAAAGAGAATGAAAGGAAGATAAGCTTATGACTGATCCATAGAGATGAGATATTCTAAAGAGAGAGAGAGAGAGAGAGAGAGAGTGCCATAAAATAAGAAAGAGAGAAAGTAAGAGTGAAAGAGACAGACTGAAAAAGAGAGAAGGAAAGAAAGGAGAGAGAAAGACATTAAATAAACATGAGAGAAAGAGTGAAAGAGAAAGACTGAAAAAAGAAAGAAAGAATAGAGAGAGAGAGAGAGAGAGAGAGAGAGAGAGAGACATAAAATAAACAACAGAGAAAGAATGAAAGAAAGAGTGAAAAAGATAGAAAGAAAGAAAGAATAAAGGAAGAGGGAAAGAGAGCCATAAAATAAGAGAGAAAGAGACAATGGTGTATTTTGTGTTTTTATATAGATAAAGAGGGAGGGAGAGAGAGAGAGAGGGGTGAGGGAGAGAAGGAGAGCAGTGAATTGCTTGAATTTGAAAAAAAATATGAAAACTTACATAAAGCGTGGTTTGATTAAGCGCGGACAAATAGATTGTCAGAGAGAAGTCGAGAATGATAAACAGAGGATAACCAAGATGGATATCAACTGACAGACGAGCAGAGATAGATAGATAGATAGATAGATAGATAGATAGATAGATAGATAGATAGATAGATAGAGACCGATTCAGATAGATATTTTAATAAACAGGATGACACAGAATGAAACATAGAGCGAGAGACAGAGAGAGATGTATACAGACACTGAGAGATAAGTAGATAGACAGATATAAATATATATGGACAGACTGATGTAAGTATATACATCTATATACATATATGCATTAACTGACAGACAGAATGGCAGATATATTGGATAGATATGAACAGTGAGACAGATAAAGATAGGCGAAAATCATAGATGCAAACATATATCTACCGCGAGAGATATGAAAAGTCTGATATATATATATATATATATATATATATATATATATATATATATATATATATATATATATATATATATATTTATTTGTGTGTGTGTGTGTGTGTGTGTATGTATGAAAATATGTATATGGAGACAGACACATAGATTGATCGACATAGATATAGATAGATAGATAGATAGATAGATAGATAGATAGATAGATAGATAGATATGAATGAATGAACTCAGAAAGTTAGAAAATGAACAGGCTGAGACGAAAGACAGTTAAGTAAATATAGCAATGTAAAAATAGAAACTTAAATAGATATACTGACAGATAGATAGATAATCAGATGTGAACATATCGCAATAGATAAATGGAAAGGTATGAATAAACTGAGTATAGAAAATGAATACAGGCAAGTATATATATATATATAGAAACAGATAGACATATAACTAAATGTTGAATTTGAAACGTAGAAACTTAGATAGATAGATAGATAGATAGATAGATAGATAGATAGATAGATATTATGAACAAGGTCACACAGAATGAACTGAGAGAGAGAGAGAGAGAGAGAGAGAGAGAGAGAGAGGTAAACAGAAAGATGTATACTGACTGAGAATGACCAACAGATATGAACATAGATAAATAGATAGATAGACAAGCATTACCATGAACAGGATGACAGAATGAAATGAGAAAAGAGAGGTGGGGGGAGGGGTAAACAGAAATATTTATATAGACTGAGAGAGATAAATAGACAGATATAAAGGTAGATAAATACGAAGAGAATAAGATAGATAGATATAAATTGAATGGTCTCATAAACGTATTAAAAAGAAAAGCGGGAGTTGTCTTTACCTTTTTTTGCAAACGCAGAAGAAAAGAAAGAATAAATGAAGAAGAGACGAATGAATTTTGAATAGGCCCTGTAACGAAGGCCCGGCGAAAAGAAATGTGGGGGTGGGGTGGTGTGGACAGAGAAAGAAAGAAAGAAAGAAAGAAAGAAAGAAAGAATAAACAGTAAGAGAATCTTTATTTTGGGAGGTAGCCGTAGGATGCAGATTGTGAATGCATAGTGGGAGGAGCAGAATTAAGAAAAACTGTCAAAGTAACTTAAGGGGGAAAAAAACAAAAATCTATTGAAATAAAGAATACACGCCCGCCCGCGCGAGTGCACACACACACACACACACAGACACACACACTTGTACGCTCAATCGTAGATATGCATGCGTGCGTGCACGTGTGCTACCGACGGAAGAAAAGAAACAAAATGTAGTGAATGTGAATGCGAAATAGATGGGAATGTAATGATGAAGTAAGGAAAAAGGAAACAGTTTCGGGAAAATATTCTTGAAAAAGGAAACAAAAAAAGAAAAAGAAAAAAAAGGAAAAAAAAAAGAAAAATAACAGTAGTAGGTGCTGAAAAGTTCTCGACTCAGTTAAATCAGAATGAAAAATATATTACGAATTCTGTTGATTTGGCCAAATTTTAGGAATTGGGTCGGACCGAGAACTTTTCAGCACCTATCTCGATGAAAAGAAAAAAAAAAGACAATGGAAAATTTGAAAACACATGTGCAATAGAACATTTTCAATAATGGGCGTGTTCAGTATGATTTAAAGCACGCACTATATCTATCTATATATACCTATATCTATGTCGGAGGTACAGATTGAGGAACCGGAGAGCCGAGTTCGAATTCCAGTCGAATCCATTACATTCACTTATGCTAATACTCTTGGGAAAGGCATGAATCTGCTTCTTCTCCGCCCCCCCCCCCAGCTAGGGTAAATAGGAGAACAGATCGAGTTCTGTAGCCTTGGATGGCAACTGGTCTACCGCAGAAAGTATTGACTACCTACTGCGGGGAAAAAAAATCTGCCCCTGTTATATGCTATGCGTGTATCACTGACTGATATCTATCTCTGTAGGCCGACTTTTCTAACTCGGTTTGTATACATCTTTCTATTTGCCTCTCTCTCCGTTCATAATGTATCATCCTGTCCATGATAATATCTATCTATCTATCTATCTATCTATCTATGTTCATATTTGTTGGTTTACCAATTTTCTCTCAGTTTATTCCGTGCCATTATGTTCTTCATTTCTATCTCTGATAGTATGTGTTGCATTTACTTCTGGAAGCACACCAATTAAATGCATATCTAGAAGTGTCTTCTAAAAGAATCGTATTATATATGTATGTACTCATATGCCAACAGTTATTTGTGAGCAGTATGCAAATATAATGGTAAGTGGTGTCACCATAAATGGTCGTTGTATCTCTACAAGTTGTACTCTGACATCTGTTACATCAGTGTGAATGTCGGTTAGGCTGCTCATGAAAAAGTGACATGACTTATCGGAGTTCGGACAGGGCATAATAGTGAGCGCCAGTTGGTAATTGCGCGGACATTTGGCATCCCTCGATCTAAGGTGTAACATGTGCACTGGGAATGTTTGATCGATTGCGCTGTAACTGACCCCGGGTCTTTAATGTTCCTGACCAGAGGTGTTTAGGCGAGAATACTCTTCGATAACAGACAATTGATACATTCAAACATATCCAAACATATCCAGCAGGTCATTTAAGCGTTCTTTGGCATTTATAGGACACGGGAGCAGGAGACCTACCAAGGTGACCCTGTTAAAAGTATAGGATAGGGTTCGGGCCGTCACTAAGTGGATCCTTGTTTGACTGCCAGCGTGCGGCACAGTCCGATGAGTTTTGGGTTTATGGAAGACTTTCGTGTAGCACAGATCTAGTGAAGCCATGCATACCAATTGTCATCAGTGCATTATGTAAGCTCGGCGTTGTTTCATAATGGTGTGGGGTATGATCATGGATCATGCGTTGGTCCCACTGTTTCGCCATTCACGTCAATCACCGATGACAGCTAAATTATCACCATTTGCACGCATTTATAGACATCATGTATCCAAACAAAGCTGGGTTATTGCAGCAGGAAAATGCACTGTGTCACTGGGTTCAAATTTAAGAATTGTACGAATTAGTTTGTGAGGAGCATTCTAGAGAATTTCGAAGAATTCTGTAAGCACCATTATGAGTTTAATGAAGCATTTATGGGACGTGGTGGAGAAATTTATCCGCACGCAAGATCTTGCACATATAAATACCAGAGAACTGTGAGCAGCTATCGATACGAGATGACTCAACATCTCTCCAGATGTCTAATTGTAGAGTCGATACCACGCCCTATTGTTGCTAGATGAGTCCAACGCATTAACAGGGACCTATTCCATGACTTTTGGCACGTTAGAGTACACACACACAAACACACACACACACACACATATATATATATATATATATATGTGTGTGTGTATGTGTGTGTGCGTGTGTGGTGCTTATTGAAAGCGCTCAATATCAGTGATGGGACAAACATTTAGTTGAATGGATATGAGTTTGTGACCGTTGGTCGGACAGAGAGGAAAATCCCCATCATCACCAAACATAATCAAACAAAAACTGACATAAATAGTGTCAAATTTTAAAAAATAAATCAGTTTTTTCTGAGGATCGCATAAGCGTGAAACCGACGATCAAAAAACTCATATCTATTCAACTAAATATATACATACATATATAACATACATATATATAACATACATACATACATACATACATACATATATATATATATATATATATATATATATATATATATATATATATATATATAATGTTCCCAAAACCTTTAGGTAATGTCTCGTACACATTCATAAAAACACGCACTGACGCATACAGATTCAAAGACAACCGTCCTGGGTATGACGATTAACTACATCCAGCTACCATCTGATCGCCAGGTAGTGAGGAGCGTGGACCCACCTCTTAATTGCTGTTGTTCCCAGGTCCACTCTGACCCGGGATAGTAGCACTTGTTATGGTCCCAGCTATGGACAAATTGTGTGTTTCCCCCCTCCAAACTGGGGAAAAATGCTGAAAATATAGATTAAACAAAAAATAAATTACCAGCAACAGATATTTGTAAAAAGAAAAAAAATTGCTCAAGCACCCAAGAAAATTAAATTTCCGCATTAAATGACCTGTAAGGATTTCCCAAGCGTAGCTTAGATGTGGCACATGGCCGAAAGCATGGTGCATCCAGTGAGGATCGAACTCAATTTTCAGTAGTAACTGATCTAGCAAGACAAGCTTGCTAACCATTACACCACGCCGAGGTGCCCCATTAAATGACCTGTAAGCATTTGATATTCCATTAAACAAATAAACACACACACACGCACACGCGCCCGCGCACACACACACACATATAGATATAGATATACATATAGATATGTGTATGTGCGTGTATATATTTGTTAGTGTGTGTGTGTGATATCCATCTCTATCTCGTACGATGATGTTAACACTTTGGGCGAACAAGATCACCGTGTGGTGAGAATAGAGTGACCATCCCAGTGAACACGCCTGGGTGATGGTGAATGGAGGCCTTGCACTACAAAACAGCAGGATTTACGGGAAGGTCAACGCTGACAACCAACCGTATTGTGGACTCCACTCCGGATTTTCTGTCTAGATTTATTTCCATTGCGCTTTTACGTAAAGCGGCAGAGGTTGGAATTCAGAGTTTTCCTTCTCCTAGACTGGTTGTCACATGAGAAAAGAGACCCCAGTCTGTCCATAGTTAGAGGGAGATGGATTCATGCCTTTTCAAACGGCATCAGTGCAAAATGAAATAGACAGTATTAGTCGAAATTTGAACTTAGACAGCTGATGCCACTTTCCGTGTCTTTAAACGCTACACTTCATTGAGAAGAAACATAACCAACAAACAGCAGTTACTCAAGAAACTCTGAAGATAAAACAAAAATTCATTTCCCCCCCAGCTAGGGTTAAATAGTAGGACAAATTAAACCTTATAGCCTTGGTTGGCAATTAGTCTAGGAGATGGAAAACGGAATTCAAATCAGCTTGAAGAGGACTGGATTGCTTCAGGCTGTCTTGCCCATGAAACACCATTGGTTCCACCCCAGGGAGTTATGAGATTCGTATGTCGTGCGATTGCTTGCAATTATTTTATTATTAGTTTTACTTCACCTTATTATCTTTTTAGATGATTGACGGAATGATTTGTTTTTACGGCTTATCGACACCTTGTGGGTCATTTCAAGCCGAACTATCTATTTGATTTTAAGAATAATTGTTTTTTTCTTGCGAGTGGATATTTCATTAATAATTTTTTTTTTTTGCGGGGTGGGGGGGGATATCAATGATTCTTCGAGATACAAGTTCTACTATTTAACCCTAAGTTGGACGAGAAGATGGATTTATACTTTTCCCAATGATTTTTGCGCGTAAATGAATGTGAAAAACTCGACTGGAATTCGAACTCGGTTTTTAAATTACACAATCCGAGCCGTTATACTTTACGCCAACCGCACATCACACCTTTTTTAGATCTTTTATCGTTATTTATAATTTTTCAATCAATCCGCAAAGTAAGTCTTCTTGAAAGAATTACTTTTTATTTCCTTTTAAGGCACCCTTTATGCATTTTCACGCAGACCTTCATAGAATAAAAACGTCTATAAAAATAGAAGGAACATTCTCTAAATTTTGATTTAAGACAATTGTAACGGAGAGGAGTGGGGAGAGGTTTACCATTTTTGATGAGATATTTTATTTTATGCATTACGATTGGCTATTATAAATTTATTTGTTACAAAATCAGGGAATTAGAAATGTAAAAGGTGTGTTGATTAAAAATAAATATTTTACATGCAAGCAATTCATGCATTCACTGAAGCCGGCGTCTTTCTGTCGACAAAATCGGATAATTATCAGCATGTGCAGATGTATGCATGAGGACATATATATATATATATATATATATATATATATATATATATATATATATATATATATATATATATATATATATATATATATATATATATATATATATATATATATATACAGAATTATTCACCCTACAGAATATTTGCATATTTTTCTAAGGAAATGCAAATATTTGCAATTACTTACTGAATTGACCATAAATAGTTGATTCCATATTTAGTCTTGAATAATTTAAAATTTTTAGAAGTTTCGATCTATTATATTTATAGTTATAGATTTTTCTAAAAATTGTTGCAGTCCAAAATTATTCCCCCTCCTCCGCTTTATGGAAATTATGAAATAATATTACTCTATTTTAATAGTAATGTTTTTTTTTTTTTTTTATTAATTTGACATTTAATACATACACTCTTTGAAAATGAAATATTATTGACCTGATTTTAAAGAGTAATGAAGAATCTCCGAATAAAGATAGCTGATACATACAAACAAGGTGATGGATATACAACATTTTCCAAGCGTTTAAATGTTCCTAGATCGACAATTTCTAGCATTATCAAGAAGTACAACGAGACCCGTTGTGTTGAGAATAAATTAAGGACTGACAGAAAATAGTTAATTTCTCAGAGAATGGAAAAGGGAAATTCTTAGAAATGTCTTGTAAACTCCTCTCTTAATGACAAGGGACATTTTCAATGATGTAAATACATCAGGGTTGAATGTATAGATGAAGACAGTCACTAGATACTTTAATCGAACAGGACTCGAACCTGTCACCCAAGGTGAACCCGCTTGCTTAAGGCTAAACACCTAAAATTCAGATCAGTTTATGCTAGAAGCCATCTAGAATATGGAAGTAAATTTTGGAACGCTGTTTTATGGTCAGATGAAACCAAATGAGAATATTTGGTCACATGAACTTCCATTATGCATGGAAGAAAGTGAATGAAGCTTGCAAACTAAAACATACCCTGCTTATAATTAAATACGGTGGTGGGAGCATTCTGTTCTGGGGATGTTTTCCTGCACCTGTGTCAGAACTATTGAGAGTACAGGGTATCATGGATAGAGGGCAATGTTTGGCTATTCTTAAAAAATAATAAAAAGTCTTTGGGGCGTCACTAGACGTTTTAACATGACCCGAAACACAAAGCACAAATTGTTACAAAATACATAGATGACAACAAAATTAATGTATTGGCATAACCTGCACAAAGTCCTGACCTAAAACCTATTGAAAATATATGGGTATATTTCAATTAAAAAGTAAGAGAATTATGTTCTTCAAATTTGGAGAAACTAGAAGCTATTGCCAAGGGAGAATGAAGCAAAATAACTGTCAGTGTGTAGTGATCTTTTAAGGAACGATTGCAAATGATTAAAGGCAATAATCAAGAATAAAGGTTCACAATTGAAGATTGGGTCAAGAGAGTCAATAATTTTGTACAATGTTAAATATTGTTTTGGTGTTTTTTGTATTATTGTTTGACATTAAAATAAAAATTTTGTTGTAGACATCATTCCATATTCTTTGAAATCCTTCATTTCATCATTTGTGAAAACATGAAGTTTCCATAAAAATTAGAGGTAGATAGAAAGAGCAAGAAAGAAAGAAAGAGAAAGATAAGAGAGAGGAAGAAACTGAGGCTACTTTAGCACAAAACCAACTGTCCTTAAATTCGACAACTACGATTGGGCTGCACTAAACTTGCTAAGATGGAAAAGCTTAACTTTCAAAATCCTAACTATTATCTAGGCTTGATTAGCTGTTCTGGTGTGTCAGATAGCCGTGTTCTTCCTTTCGTAAACGAATATTCGGAGAGCCGAGTTCGAATTCTAGTCGGCTTTGTTATATTCATTTATGCACAAATTTCTTTGAGAAATGTATAAATCCATCACTTTTCTTCCAGCTATGGGTTAATTAATAAGACTTGTATTCGTATCTCCAAAAAAATGGTTACAATCTAAAAAAAATATTTTCTGCCTTTAAATAAGCTGCAAAGCGTTGATAAACAGTAAAAAACAAATCAATCAATCAAGAAAACGATTAAAATTACCATTACTATTGGATTTAAGGGATTTTAATATTTAACAATCAAGTAGAATGTGATGTGCATGCTATTCATTGAGTAGAGCTTAATCCAACATAGGACTGAACAAAAAGAAGGAGATGTAGAAGGATTTTGCTATGCCATTTTTGTTTTTCCCCAAACCAGCTTACCTTGAAAATCAGCCTACCTTGAAAATCAGAATCCTGGTTTCTAACATCTGGGGAATATAAGTACATATTTCAGCTCCAAGTTCATTTGGCTTAATTTTTCTTACCTGGATTATTTTTAATGAACATCCCATATGTTCTATTTGAATCGGAACCTTATCTTTTGTGATGGCAAATCAAACACTTCGAGTCCCAACGGGCGACTGAAATTTGTCTTCTTCTCTGTACCATGCCTCTTTAGGACTATAGTAAACATGACAATGATCCACAATTTTCTGTCCTTTGTAATTTTTAGTAATCTTTTTTTTTTCTTTTTTTTTTTAGCTATCTCACCTAAGCTCTGTTCTGCCTACCATTTACACAAGCTCATTATACGCTGTTCTTAAAATGGGCCTCTAGCCTTTAATACATCTTGTGAGTGTCAAATTGTCTAAGCCCTCATTCCTCATATCTGTGTTCTAGAAATGTAAACTATCTCTTTCTGATGTTAAGTATATGTGTCCTTTTTGTTTTCTTTGAAACTTCCTCGTTGTTCATATGTTCAATCCATGGTTTTCGCAGCTTCCTTCTGTGGAACCACATTTCTGTTCCTTCTAGTCTTTTCTTCATCTGTGGGGAGATTGTGACTTACATATATATATATATATATAAAGCAGCACGTTGCTTCCCTGTCTCAGTAAGTCGATTTATCTCTGTGTCTGGTTGTCTACTGTCAGACGCAGTTTGTCTCTATTTGTTCTCATTCCCCACTTCATCCCTTTTCAAGGCCTAATGGAGATCCTCCTTTATCCACACACACACACACACACACCCACACACACACCCACACACACACACACACGCACAGAAACATACACACAGACACACTTCAGTATTTCGATTCCTCCCACTTTAAACCTCTCCCCAATCCCTTTCTCATCTCCCTTTCTTTCTTCACATTTTCTTCGAATCATTTCATCATTATGGCAGCCAGTATTAATAAATTTGTTGATTGATTTCGTTTCTCCTCGATTTACTGGAGATGCAGCGTCAAAGCCAGACGACCATCCTTTTCTCTTTCATATTTCTTTTCTCGTCTGCTTTTTCCATTATTTTCTTTTTCCTACTTTTATCTTCTATAATTCTTTCTTTTTTTGTTGTCTTTTTCCCTTTTTTCTCCTCGTTTTTTCTTTATTTCCTTCTTTCTTTGTCGTATTTTCCCTTCTTTCTTTCTTTCTTTCTTTCTTTCTTTTTTCTTTCTTTCTTTCTTCTATTTCATTCGTTTTTCTTCCCTTTTCCATTTACTTTGTTCTTTCTTCTCCGCCATGTTCTTTTAATTGTTTCCTTTTTTCTTCTTCTATGCTTCCAGTTCTTGTTTCGGTTTTTTCTTATTCCAGCAATACGATCAGACATTCTATTTATCCATTCGTCTATTCATTCTCAGATTTAGCAATTAATTCTCCATATTTCTTTGGATTTTTACTAACAGCGTCCTTTTCTCCTTCACCTTCTGTCGAAGTCTGTTTTTGATCGTTTTTTTTTTGTCCACTTCCTTCCTTCCTTCCTTCCTTCCTTCCTTCTCTATTGCTTTTTTTTACTTTCTAGCTCATTCTTTTGTTATGTATTCCTCTTCTTCCCTTTAATAGTTTTCGCTGTTTCTCTTTATTTTGTATATTTCCTATTCTTCTTACGCTCTTTCCTTCGTTACTGGCATATCTCACCTTTTCGAACCAATGAGCTAGTAAACACAACCAGTTGCCTTGGGACCAGCCAACCACCGCCACCATTCGCACGTCGTGTCGCTTGCTGACTACCTTGCCATCTTTGCAGACTTATATCCGTTTCATATACAATAACTTAACGTTACGATCTGGTTCGCCTGTCCGTCCAACATTATTAAATTACCCCACAAGTAGCAGAAAAAATATTATAAAAAGTACAGTATTAGCTAACGAATAAACGATTTATTCCACCTTTCCAAATGGCTACAAAATATGAAAAAAAAATCCTGCTGAGAGGTAATATGTAGCTACAAGGTTGTTTCCATTAGTTACTTCATTTCTTACTTGGACAGGTTCTCCTGTCATTTCCTCCATGTTCGTTATCCTGGCTTAGAATCGGTTATTCTGAAAAGAATTTCCACGAATTAAATAAAAGAATTATATTCTGGTTTCTGAAGTAAATGGATGTTCCCTATCAATTGTCCATTATTCACTCTTCTAAAATTTAAAACAGAGTCGGCTAAGAAATATTTGCTCAAATGACAACACCCAGTTCTCATATGTATAGCGGCTTTAAATACACTGCATTATCATAAACACTCAGCGCCGCAATGATTATACTAAAACAATTTTGCTAATAAGTCATCACCGTTATTAAAAGTATTCACCTTTGCTAGCGTAAATGTCATCGGTGCGAAACAGGAATCAGGGGAGCTTGTTCAAATCCACGCCTAGCGTGTTACGCTCATTATTTTGGGGAGGGTATGAATCCACCTCTTCTCTCCCAGCTATGGATTAAATAACAGGGTAGATTAGGTTCTATAGCCTTGAGTAGTAACAAGTCTAATAGAAAGACTTTTGTGCCTTTTCTATAAATACTTTGATGGTAATTGTTCGGATGAGGTCTTCGCTTCCCTTCCCCGTTTGGGTGATCAGAGATGTCAGTTCTCTGGTGGATGCGGGGCGCTTTTCTTTTCGAGTGTGATTTTCGTATTTGTTGTTGTGTTTGAATGAGTGTGTGTTTGAATGAGTGCTTGGAATTAATGAATGTTTTATATTATTAGAGTCCCGCATTGATTTCGTCCAGTTAACTGATGTTTCTGCCGCATTTAAGGATTGTTGCGGTGGGAGGTTAATTGCTAATATTATTTTGTTTGGTTTCTTGTAAATATTTTTGTTTTCATCTTGTGAATACACATTCGGGCTAGATTTTAAATTCTTGTTTTATTCCCCTTCCCAACAGACAATGAATTGTACATATGAGGACTAGTTAGGACTTCATGGAGATTCTGATATATCATGGTGGATAAAGTAAAAATGGTAAGAATGCGTTATTTTGGTGCAAGGAATACTGTTGAATGTTTAGGTTAGCGTTTGTGGCTAGCTAAGATTAACGTTAAGACAGAAAAAAAAGTCCTTTTCTCCATTCCCCTTTTTGGCCTTGTTACACATTTTGTAAAAATTACAAATAACTAATGCTCTTCCCTGTGGTACCTAGACTTCAGGAATTTAAGCGCAGTACTATAATGCCGTTGAGATCTTATCAATTGACTCTTGAAGTAGCTAGGTGTAGCCGTATGTTCTATGCTAGCAGTTTCTTTTCTCGCACTTCTCCTTTGTGGAACTCCCTTCCGGTCCCATACTTTTGAATCAACTTTAACCTGCAAAAAATTTAAGTGTAATGTCAATCGCTATTAACTGTCATCCTGATTATTCTTTTCTCTTTCCACTCATTATTAATGTTTCTGCTCCTAATTCTTCCACACCCTGTAACCCGCCGTGTGTCTTAGTGGCTTTATTGCCTTTCATGGGGTGATACCGATTAAAAAAATCATTGTGAAAACTACAGAAAACCAGTTCACTATATTTCTCAAGAATTCATAGACAATGAAAAAGGGAATTTGTGGAGGGCCACGTTTGTTATTCTGCTTTCCTATGCTTCTCTTGCCTCCGATCTGAGGGTGAGATTTAAATTCTCCACCTCCACCTTCCTTATTATTTTTCCCAAATATTTCAGCAGTCTCTTTCTGAAGTCCTCGGTAAGTAGTTGGCGTATTCTAGTTCGCGCCGATATGGTCGCGGCAAATCAGAAAGTTGCTTGTTACCTATGTTTACCAATTGACTAAGATATGAACATTATCTATATCTAACTATCAACACAATACTAGATTGGTGGCAAGATCTCATCATTTTACAGTTGAAATGGCAACATGTAACCGTAAGTTCTATGTTAAGAGTTTCTCCTCTTGCACTTCTCGATTGTGGAAATCTCTTCCGGGTTCTTCCTTTCCAGTGAACTTTGATCTTTAAAAATGTAAATGCAATACCCATAGTTATCTTCTGTCTTGTTAATTTCCCTCTTATTTTATTGTTCTCCTATCTTAATAACGTTTATTTTTCTTCTTTTTCTTATATTTTTCCACTTGCGTCTTAGTGTCTTTTTTACCTTGCTTGGGGTGAAATTATTTAAAAAAATAAAATAAAAAACACATATTTCGATCAATATCGATCTATATTTTATTTTGACTCTAGTAGGAACACGACATATTTATCTACCTACCGACGCACTTACAAACATGATCTATGTCTCCCAGTCGACTCCCAGTCCTGGGTATGACGATAAACTACATCCGGTAGTAATGAAACTGATCGGGAGATTAGTGGTTTTGAGGCGCGCGGAACCATCTTTTAATTGCTGCTGTTCCCAGATCCACCCTGACACGGGGTGGTAGCATCTGTTAGGACCCCATCTATCGGCAAAGTGAAAACAACATTATATTCCAGACTGGCTACCACCCAATCTACTAGACAGGAAAAAACGAAAACAAAACACGATTAAAGTATAAAAATATATTTTTATAGTAAAAATATCAGAAATACATTTTTATATAAAAAATGACCAACTTCACCTATTTATAGTAAAATGACCAACAATACATTTTATGTAGAAATTTTGAAAAAACAAACAAAAATCCATAAATGTAGTTAAAATGAAAATTGTCGACGTCAGACGTTTTACTTTTAATAAACCATTTTTTATGACAAAATTTTCATTTGAAAATTTGTAATTCAATTCATTTTGTCTTGAAAACGGTGGACATAAAACCGAAACGTATGACGTCGACAATTAAAACATTTAACTACATTTATGGATTTTTGTTTGTTTTTCAAAATTTCTACATTCTGTCGGATTTATATCTATTTACACTTGCTTTAATACATTTTATCTAGTTGAAGGCATACAATTGCGTTCAAAATATTTAAATTTCGGTATTAAATAACCCATAGAACCGACCAACCAACCAACTCCAAAACATTCGACATATAATAACCCAACTGGGGTTGATATGTCATTAAATCCACTAACCAACATCATTTGCTGCTTTTTCTGTCCGTGGTATGATTAACAGTCGTCATTAAGACTACATTGTTGTTGCCTCAATTCGTTTGTTCATTTGTGATGAAATTGTCCAGTTTTCATAGCAATATTTGAGAATAGACATCACAGAGCAATTCAACATTCTTTATTTTCTAATGTTATTTTAAGTCCTTTAATAACTTACTAAGGTTCTGATGTGCAACTTTCGCTATTCATCAACGTCAATTTTTTTGTCTTTTCTTTTTTGTTTTAAACACAATGACTTTCAGGACGCAGGCGATCATGGTTCTCCATTTCTGTATTATCTATAAATTGTTATGAATTCTTCGGAATGACAGTAGAGTGGTTTCCCGTTAACGTCTCAAGGTTTTACATTCACGTTAGTTCATATTCAAGACTGGATACCATCCAGTCTACTAGACAACCCAATCTACTGTTTAACCAATAGCTGGCGGAAGAGAGAGAAGAAATGAATTTACGCCTTACCCAAAGAAAATATGTGAAAAAGTGAATACAACTGATTCAGTCGGAATTTGAACTTGGCTTGCTGATTTTATTTTCCGCCACGATAACTTTTACGGTACCCGCTCATCCTGACCTTTTATTACACAATACAATAATTAAAAAAAAAATATCAACAGACTCAATTGGGGCAGACATCAGCCTTGGTTGATGGTAAGAGATTATATTCAATTCTAACGTTTCTGTGGGTGATATCTCGCGGCTAATGACTGCTCACAGCACAAAGAATTGAGTAGGAAAAATGCATGGTCACGTGTTTATTTCCTCCAATCGTTATTAAGAACTGAGATGTTTGGAGTAGTGATTTAAACTGGACTAGTTTGCTCATCCAACAGCCATTGTTTGTTTAGGCTCCTCTCTCGCCAGTGGTCTTGAATTATTGAATACATATTAAGACGGAAACACACACCAAATTTGACGTTCTGTATACGCAAGAGTTTAAAATTTTTGGGAATATGCGTGATTTCATGTGCGCATGCGTATCCATATTTACAATTGTGAACCTGCATATATTGAGAAACATTAAGAATAAGAAAGGGGGAGTGAGAGAGAGAGAGAGAGAGAGAGAGAGAGAGAGAGAGAGAGAGAGAGAGAGAGAGAGAGATGAAGAAGCGGGGGGGCAAGAAACATGTTAGTAAGAGATAGGATAAAAGAAATAAAGAAAGAATGAATATTCAATATTTTTCTGTAAAATCAAAACGAAACAAACAGATCTTAATACATAGGATCAATAACATGTTCATATCCCGTGGGTAGCAGAGATTTAAAAGCACGTGCGTTTTGTGAGAGCTGCAAGTACGTGATTAAATTCCCCCGTGACATGCCTTGAAAATCGGTATACGAAATTATGGGATTTATCTACTAGAACAAGAAAAATGACTACAAACGCAAGTGGAAAAACCTGTTACTATCTCAGCTAAGTTGATTTCCATTGACAGATATAATTCATGAATAGTGTAGATTTTATTGAGCGTTATGGCAGTTGTTGTTGGTGGGTAAGAAGATTTTGTAGATCCCTTCTTTCAGAGTAATTGAACTAGTTTGATTTGGAAACCAGCTTTCAAAACAATGACTTCAATTGATTGAATCATGTCCTATAACAGCTGAGGCATGAAGCTATTCATATATATATATATATATATATATATATATATATATATATATATATATATATACATACATACATAC